GAGGAGATAGCTGGATTTTGCAAACTTACAGAAGACTAACATGATATGCGACTAAGAGGCACAGTGGCTGAAAGATCTCTACTCCAGCAGTTCGAATCCTAGCAAGCACTAATCATTTGTCTCAGCTTCAGTTTGACTTGGTATGTGCAATTAGATAAATAGGTACCACTTCAGTGAGAAAAATGATGTAAAATAAAAAAAATAAAATAAAAAATATAATAATAATAATAATAATAATAATAATAATAATAATAATAATAATAATAATAATAATGGTAGTCAATCCTAGCTGGTGCTGGATGTTCTGGTAAAGCTGCAAGACTTGGACTGTTACACAGATAGATGATAGAGTAGGAAGGCAATATTATACGATTGACTAAAGGTGGGATATAGTGAATTTCCTACCCCTGTAGCAGTTGTGCTAAAATGGTGATATAGCTATCCAGTTCATGTTCTGCTGCCTCACACTAATAAACTTTGTCCAATTTTATTCCAAATTACAATATCGATACAAAGATGACATAGGTATTATGCTGTTTATTATGTTGGCTCCATGCTGCTTGTAATGCACTACCGTGTTTCTCACAAAATAAGGCCGGGCCTTATTTTTTTTTGAGCCCCGAAAAAATGGCTAGGGCATCTTTTGCGGGGTGAATTAATTCCCCCCCTTGCATCCTTGGGTGGGCGGGTGGCAACGGCTTGGATGTTGACCTTGGTGTTGGTGGAGCACTTCGTATCGGGCGACCTTCCGCCACCATTGCTTTCCCTTCTCCCTGTGCTGCCGCGGTGTTTAGAGCAACGCCACAGCGTTTGGCGCAGCCAGACATGGCCAGCCAGGGCTCCTCCCTGCAACTGGAGCCCAGCGGAGACACTCGGCTTCAGGCACTCCTGTCGCCACCTTCCCTTCGCCTGAAGCCGAGTGTCTCCGCCGGGCTCCAGTTGCAGGGAGGAGCCCTGGCTAGCTGCGCATGGCTGCGCTAAATGCTGCGGCATTGCTCTAAACACTGCAGTAGCATGGGGAGAAGGGAAAGCAACAGTGGCAGAAGGTCTCCCGATACGAAGTGCCCCACCAATGCCAAAGTCAACGCAGGCAGCACCGTATCCGGGTATGCAACAAAAGTACTTCCTAATGGCAAGCCACACACCCCGCCATTCCTCCCCATTTCACATGTTTAATATAGGCCTTAATTTGGGGGGAGGGGCTTAATTTGATTTTATGCCTATAAAACATGCTGGGACTTCCTATTGGGGGAGGCCGTATTGTTGGAGAAACACTGTAGTATTGATGATGCAATACTTTTTGGATAAAAGAACCATTTCTGCAAGTCAACAAGTCAAGTTTGTGAGGAAATTTATGAATTGCCACAAAACTGACAATTGTTTTCCATTTTTAAAACACACACTAAAAGCTATTTGAGAAGACTTGTTTCTATGTAAATTATAATTATCAAATTTATTTGCTGCCCATCTTGCAGTTCGAAGTGAAGATGCATATATTTTTTAAATAATATATTTTGCCTTGATCTTGTTGCTCTTGAAATTCATAAATTTCATTGCTAAATTTATACTAAAAAAGTGAATGAAATTGAATTCTCTGCGTTTGCAACCAGAGCATTCTCTTTCAATTACACAACATGCTTCTGCTGCAGAGGTGAAAATCAGATTTTGATACTTTAATATATATATTATTTACTGAAAGTAATGTTGTACCTTGCTTGATAGAAATCAGAAATATATTGGAAGCTAATGTGCAGAAGGAATGAAAAAGGAATATTATATTATGTTGCTATGGCATTTCAGCTTGATTGTTTCAAGTGCAACTTGATTTCACAGATGATTACCTCCAGAAATGAAGAGTCATTCCAATATTCCCACTGATAATGTGCTATTTTGTAAAACTTGATAAATTAGCACACTTTGAGAAGAGACAATTTGTGAGGCTCTCTGTGAAATTTCTTTCTCAGTGTTATTGTCTTCAAACTATTAATAATTACCATTAATTAATAGGAACAATCTAAAAGAAACCTAATTCCCTTTATATTACACTGTTATCAGAAGTTGACAGTGAATTTAAATGCTGCTGATACAGCATTTATATTCAGCAGATGTTGGTGAATATTTTTTTCCATGTTTTGTCTTAGATTTCTACATATACACAAACACTGTCTCTCTGATACTAGCTGAATATCTGACACTCACACAATTAATTTAGGTTCTTCAGTAATCATCACCCTAGGTTTTTTCCCCCTTAAAATCAGGTAAAGAGTTAACTAGGAATCTCTCAATCCTGTAGAGGAATTTAGAGAATGCACCTATTTATGATGTAACAGAATTATAAAACAAGCTACAAAATGGAAGGGAGCAGCTTCTCTGAATTTTGTTTGAAACCCAGTACAAAATAAGTCCATGGAGGGAGGGAAACCTGGTTTAATTTTATAGCTTAGAACAAGGGTATCAAACTCACATTGTCATGGAGGAATCACATGACGTATCAGGATGTTTTTCCCCTTTTCTAAACTGGGCATGGCCAGTTTGTGACACATCTGGTCTGCAGCAGGGGTGGGATTCAAATTTTTTAACAACCGGTTCTGTGGGCATGGCTTAGGTGGTGGGTGCGGCTTGGTGGTCGTGTGACTGGGTGGTCATGGCTTGGTGGTCATGTTATTGGCTGGGTGTGGCCAACTCAATATCACTCACATCGAGGAGCGCATCTTCTCGCCTGGCCTCTCAAGACTGTGGGGATGCTGCAACAGTCGTAAATGTGAAAAATGGTCATAAGTCACTTTTGTCAGTGCCATTGTAACTTTGAATGGTCACTCCACGCAAGCAAAGTACCAGCAAAGTAGGGGAAAAAAACTTCAGAGAAGTTCCAGAGACAGGAAGTCTAGTCCTGTCAAGAATGTAATAAGGGTTAATGGAGAGGCAGTTTCTGTAAGCAACACCAGAATGTTTCCTTCCTGCCTTCCTTACAGGATTATGCCAGTAATTTCTTTCAACAACTGGTTCTCTGAACTGCTTAGAATGTTAACAACCAGTTCTAACGAATAGATGCGAATTGGTAGAATCCCACCCCTGGTCTGCAGGCTGAGTATTTGATAGCCCTGGCTTAGAACATTTGTTTGTGTATAACAAAACAGCTCAAATTCCAGGTTGTAACACAATCAACATAAGCTAACTTCTTTGTTCTCTTTTCCCTTTATTAGAATCTGTTACCTGATATACACATTGACATGATGTTACTCAAGCCAATTTCAAAAGTATTCAATCATGTATTCACATTTTTTCAATCTCATGATCTCAGCAGATCACAAGGAAGGAAAAGTTGTTCTATACTCACTCAAAACTTTTTTAAAAAACTTCTTTTGTATCCATAAGTTGCCACATGAAATGTACTAGAGGTATTTCTTACATGTCTTCCTATCATCCAGAGATTCAACCATGTATGTCTTATTCATGTCCATGAATTCTATAGAACCTCTTCCCCCAAAAGAAAAAAGGACTAGGACTTTCCACGAACAAAGCTTTTTCTTTGGAGAAAAAGAAATTGGATCACTCCTGTGTCGCAAAGTGGATAGGCTTATGACACAGTAAATTTATGATCACAATTAGAACCTGTGCCAGCAGAGGAGGCATACTTCGGGGCCCATTGGTCAAAGTATTCCAGCTGACAGTGTCCAGAAGGGCCTTCTCTACCATAGCTCCTGCCCTTTGGAACATTTTACCCCCTGATATGTGATTGGCTCTCGCCCTTCTGACCTTCTACAGGGAGAAGCAGCACACCTAACAGGGAGAGCATCACTTTGGAGGTGATTGATGAATTAAGAGGTAATCCCATCTTCCCACATTGAATCTTGTTCCCTATCATTTAACTATAATTTTATCTTGATTGGGATTTCTATTTTTATTGTTTTAGATATATTTATTTGTTATGATTTTAATGTTTGAAAGCTGAAAGCTTCTCAGAGTCATTTCATTAAGGGAAGGACAACTAACTAATAAATTAAATAATAAATATATAAATAAATAGCATGATCAGATTTTTTTTTCAAGTAACAAACCACTGTTACCACTGCATGTCTCTTTCCATATTCTTATAATATATTGCCCTAACACTCAGTTGATACAATGCTCCTCACATTGTGTGAAGAAGAATGAAAAATTATTTCATCAAATATCATTTTGACAGAAAGTCGTGATATATTGTAAATATGTAAACACATGCCATACAATGGTGAACATTTCTTCTTTATGTCTACATTTAATTTTATATTTTAGTCCAAATGTTCTTTCTATTACCACAATATGAATTCTTGTTACTTTTTAAAATAGCTTTACAAAATAATTCATATCAATTAAGAACATAATTCAGTTCAGAATAAGAAAAGCACGCACTTGCTTTAACAATCATTTCCCAATTACCTAAGATTGCACCAAAAATTAAGTTTTCAGAAAAAAACTGCATCTCATCAGATTTATTCCTGAAAGAATGATTTGAGATAATAACTTTTATCTTTACACGTCAAAATAAACTCTGTATGAGGCTCAGTTTCTAAAGTACAGGTATTCCTCAACTTTCATAGTTCATTTAGTGACTGTTCAATGTTACAATGACACTAAAAAAGGGGGCCTAAGATTGTTTTTCTTACGAACATTGCAACATATCCATGGGTATCTAATCAAAATTCAGATGCTTGACAAATGATTCATATTTACGATAGTTGCAGTGTCTCGGGGTCATGTGATCACTTTTTGCAACCTTCTGACAAGCAAAGTCAATGGGGAAGCAAAATTCACTTAACAACCATGTTACTAACATAACAGTCGCAATGATTCACTTAACAAAAGTAGCAAGAAAAGTTATAAAATGGGCAACACATACTTAACAAATTTTTCACTTAGCAACAAAAATGTTGGGCTCAATATGATCGTAAGTCGAGGATTTACTTGTATCATTATTTCAAGACAGGTACCACTTTTGAATGATAAGACAACATACATACCTATACTCCAGTCTACTTCTTCCACGGCATCCCCATATAAGCCATGCTTGCTCTTTTCTCTAAAAGCTAGTGATGCATAAAGAGCTGTATGGACTTGAGGGTATGATAGGAATAGGAGAAATGGTTTGTCAATATTCCTGAAACAGAGAATATAAATCAGAATATTAGGGAATGCATCATACATGACTATTTTCATATAAATTCTTTCTTAGTCACATGATTTATTCAGTAATAATTCCTTCAAATGTTTTGGAAGTATCTTACATGTTAGCTAATCTAACATTCAGGAATTTTACCAGATAACCAGATTGAGAAAAACTTGGTAACCTACCAAACAGAAATCAGGATGGCAATTGAAGTAAATTTGGGCTCAGTTCTTATAATGCTTGTTATTTTCATTTATTTCAAAGCAATAAAACAGAGAAGCTGTGTTCAAAAATCTATCAACCAACATTTTAAAGTGAAATTTAATATGAAAAGGATACATTAGAACACTTTTATTTTCACAATGAAGGTTAGTCTCCATACAATATAATAGTATAATAAGATGGCATAACATGGATTAATAAACTACTACAGGAATAATAAAAAGTAGAGAAGAGAACTAGGGGATTAGCCATATTGAACTTAATTCTCACTAACATAGATGAAATGATAGTAGATGTTAAAGCTATAGGAAACTTGGGTGGGAATGATCAGGAAACATTATGCAAGCATAATGTTGAGAACAAAGTCAAATTAAAGTATTGGATTTTAAAAGAGTCAATTCAGATAAACTTAGAGAGACCTTGGGAAGGATTCTGTGGATGAAAATTTTCAAAGGAAAAACAATCCAAGAAGTTTAAGACATTTTGAAAAATGAGATTATGAAAGCCCAGTCTAGCACAATACCAAATGAAGAAGAAAAATAACAGCTCTCAAAAGAAACCACCATGGATGACAAAGAACTTTCTAATAAATTGAAAGGGAAGAAGGACAAGTATAAAAAGTGGAAAGAAAAGCACATAACTACGGCAGAATATCAGAAAATAGCATGAGCCTACAAAGTTGAAGTCAAGAAAGCTAAGGCTCAAAATGAACTAAGGCTTGTGACAAAAGTCAGAAATAACAACAACAAAAAGCTTCTTTCAACATGTAAAAACAATAAAAAAACTCAAGGAAACTATTGTTCCATTAATGGGAGAAAATGGCAAGAAGGTAACAAGCAACAGGCTCCTCTGAGGCTAGGAAGCTCCCAAAAATGGGTGGGGGTGGCAAAAAAGCAAAAAAAAAGCCACACCCACCCAGTCACATGACCATGCACGCCAAGCCAAAATTTTCCTACTGGTTCTGTGGGCGTGGCTTGGTGTGCGTGGTCATGCACACCAAGCCACGCCCACAGAACCAGTAGGAGATCTTTTTGAATCCCACCACTGCTTAAGATACAGAAGAATCTTAGGAGACTTGACCATTGGGCACTATCTAACAAAATAAAATTCAGTGGTGAAAAAAGTAAGGTTCTACATTTAAGGAAGAAAAACCAAGCTCACATGTATAGTATAGGTAGTACCTGGCTCAATAATAGTAACTGTGTGAGAGATCTTGGATTCTTAATGGGCAATCACTTAAATATGAGCCAGTGTGCTACAACTGCCAAAAAATCCAGTGTAGTCCTAGGCTGCATTAACAGAGGGATAGAATCAAGATCACATGAAGTGTTAATACAATTTTATAATGGCTTGGTAAGAGCACACTTGGAATACTATATTCAGCTTTGGTCACCACAATGTAAAAAAGATGTTGAGACTCTAGAAAGAGTACGGAGAAGATGAATAGGGACCTGGAGTCTAAAACATATATAGAACGGTTGCTGGAATTGGGTATGGCTAGTCTAGGGAAAAGAAGGTCTAGGAGTGACATGATAGCAGTGTTCCAATATCTCACATGTTGCCACAAAGAAGAGGAAGTCAAGCTATTCTCCAAAGCACCTGAATGCAGGACAAGAAGCAATGGATGGAAACTAATCAAGGAGAAAAGCAAACTAGAACTAAAAAGAAATTTCCTGACAAAACAATTAATCAGTGAGACAACTTGCCTCATTCACAAGTTGAAAATGCTCCAACACTGAAAGTTTTTAAAGAAAAGATTGGGCAACCATTTGTCTGAAATGGCATAGGGTTTCCTGCCTGAGTAGGGGGTTTGGAGTAGAAGACCTTGAAAAGTCCCTTCCAACTCTGTTATTCTGTTAATACTGTGTGTTTTAAAATAGTAGTTACAAGTATATTTATGCTTCCTGCATACATCTTTCAGGAAATCCTAGTTCTCCCGGGAGCCGTGGAAATGCTTACTTAATCAAGTACAGAAGTAGTATTCAACAGGTTCTGGAAAACCGGTAGTGGAAATTTTGAGTAGCTCGGTCAACCAGCAAACACCACCTCTGACTGGCCCCGCTTCCATCTGTTCTCTACCTCCCAAATCCCACCTTCTTCTGTTGCCCTGCACAGGACAACGGTGCTGGAAAGCAGGTTAGTGGGATGGGGAGTGAATGGAGTTTTTACAGTACCCTTTCCCTGCCATGCCCACCAAGCCATGCCCGCTAAGCCATGCCATGCCCGCCAAGCCACACCCACAGAACTGGTAGTAAAACTTTTTTAATCCTACCACTGCTCAAGTACCAGATAGTAATGAATCAAAGGTAGATTTTGGTTCCAGCCTAAAATTGAACATATGTAGCTGAACAAAATTACTAAGACAGATTGCTTAAAAAGAATGATATCTATCTCACTATTCTCACTATCTATCTATTGTCTGTCTGTCTATCTATCTATCTATCTATCTATCTATCTATCTATCTATCTATCTATCTATCTATCTATCTATCTATCTATGAACATAGGGCTACAATGATAAATACAGATAGGTAGAAGTCATCACTTACAAACACTGATGGGATTTTAAATTTTTTTATTTCCGGTTCTGTGGGAGTGGCTTGGTGGGCATGGCAGGGGAAGGATACTCAAAATATCCATTCCCACCCCACTCCAAGGGAAGGTTACTGCAAAGTCCTATTCCCTTCCCACCCCAGTAACCTGCTTTCCAGCTCCATTCTCCTGTACAGGGCAACAAAAGAAGCCCTATCCGATCAGCTAGGACTCAGGAGGCAGAGAATAGATGGGGGTGGGGCCAGTGGTATTTGCCAGTTCTCCGAACTACTCAAAATTTCTGCTACAGTTTTCCAGAACTGGCCAGAACCTGCTGAAAACCACCTCTGTTTACAAATGTCTATTTACAGGAGATGACAGACCCTGGGGCAATATCAGGGATGTACTGCAACATAAGAGTTCTCAGTCCCAGAACATATATCTAAAATATACTTCATACACAATCCCAAAGTAGAGGGTGGGACAAGATTAAACAACTTACAACTTGGAGAGCTGAATCTGAAAGCACTTACAAAAATAATAGACTCTTGAAAAAATTAAAGAAATTAGAACAGGACAAGAAAACCCCCAACAACTCACAACGACACCTGAAGCAATTAGTATACCATGTTTCCAACAGAGAACTCACCAAAACAGAAACAGATGTCCTAACCAAAGGATTCAATTATGCTATAGCACCCCCAAAAATTCCCACAGAATCCATCATATGTGCAGTAGAATCCACCCTAACCAAATTAAATACAGATGAAGCTGATAAATAAAACACCAAGTTACCAACATCCTATGCACAAGCAAACCACCCAAAAGCAACTTGCAGAAAGAAGAAATTAAAGCGCTACAAACCCTGAAAAGAGATAACAGCATAATCATACTCCCAGCAGACAAAGGGAATGCCACAGTAGTAATGGACAGAAAAGACTATGAAACCAAATTGACAGACCTACTCCAAGACTCCACATACAAACCCATAAACACAGACCCAACCACATACCTGGAAAAATTAACCAAGAAGAAAATTATAACCAGCCACATGAGCAAAGAGATCCAACAGACAATCATCCCAAGAGAAAAATCTTCCAGATGCCCCAAACTATACGGCCTCCCAAAAATACACAAAGAAGGCATACCTCTCAGACCCTTAGTCAGCTCCAGAGGAGCACCACTACAAAACCTAGCCAAATACTTAGCAAAACAGCTACAGCCCCATGCTGAAACAGCAGCTTCACATGTACAAAACTCATACCACTTCTTGGAAATGATCAAAGATCTACATGTGGAGCAAGAAGATCTGCTTGTAAGTTTCGACGTGTTTCACTATTCACTCAAGTCCCGATAAAAGAGACCCTTGAAATCATCAAAAATAAATACCAACCAGCTAAACACCTCATGGAATTAACAGAACACTGCTTAACCAACACATATTTCATATACAAAGGACAAAGATACAAACAAATTGAAGGAGCCCCTATGGGATCACCACTGTCACCCGTCATTGCAAACCTGTTTATGGAAGAATTCGAATCCAGAGCCCTGGCCAATGCCATCCACAAACCCAAACTATGGTTAAGATACATCGATGACACATTTGTGATTTGGCCCCATGGAAAAGAAAACCTAAACAATTTCCTAACACACCTAAACAGCACACACCCCAAAATCAAGTTCACCATGGAAACAGAAACAAACAACTACCATTCCTAGATGTACTAATCTACAAAAAAAAAACAGATGGCACACTAGGACACAATGTATACCAGAAGAAAACACACACTAACCGCTACCTTAACGCCCAATCCCACCACCACCCAGCACAGATAAACTCCGTGGCCAAAACACTAATTACTAGAACCAAATGCCTGGCAGACAAGACACACATTAAGACTGAACTATGCACTGAGGTACTGACAGCCAACGGCTTCCACAAAAGCAAAATAACCGGCTTGATCCACAAAAACACACTGAGACATAATAGAGACCCAGAAGATGAACAGACCTATGGAACAGCTGTCCTGCCCTACATAAGAGGTACTACAGACAAAATTAGTAAGATACTGCACAGACATCACATCAAGACTGCCTTCAAAACAGACAGAAAAATAGCAGCCATCCTTAGAAACCCCAAGATAAAATTGACCTGGAAAACCAAGGCATGTTGCCAGCCAATCAAGAGACAGAAAGAGCCAAAAAAACAGACAGGAGATATTAGAAACACCAATCAAGCAGAACACAGCAAACTCCAAGACCAATAAACAGAGACCAAGACTCCCAACCAATCAGGGTGAAGAAAAAACCATTCTGGCACAGCAATAGGCTGCCCCAAATTTAAATCTGAAACCACTATAAAAGCCGGACTCACAGATGAACACTATACAGAAGCCTGATGATGGCAGATGAGATTCTGCCAAAACGCTGCTACAACTTTAAAAGCACAACTACAATGACGTGGGAAAATACCCGAACAAAGCTGAATGCCATACATGTAAGTACCCGCGAAAACTTAAGAAAACATATATACTGTATATATATACTGTATCTATATATATGTGTGTGTGTGTGTGTGTGTGTGTGTGTGTGTGTGTGTGTGTGTGTGAGAGAGAGAGAGA